ACCCCCAAAACCCCAAAACCCCAAAACCCCAAAACCCCAAAACCCCGATTATAAGCAGCAAAACTGAAGATTAGCTGGATGATAAGGAAATCAATAAAATGTATTGGAGATTTTGAAATGAAACATCTGAGAGAAATCGCTAAGGTTGCTAAAGAGGGCAAAACATTCATTTTATGGAAATCTGTGGGTGTTCAAAAGTGAATATGAAGCTATAGAATTCGAAAAGAATGATTTGAAGTATAAATATGGTACTTATTCAGGTTTTACGATTTATATCTGAACATTCTTTGCTAAAAATAATAAGAAATTATACCTTTGGAAGTTTGGGGAGGTTATAAGCCACTGATGGCGCATCTAAAATTGACAAAAAGCTTACCTGAGACAGCAAGAAATTGGACCCTTTTATCAATTAGACTATTCTGCTCACTTTGGGCATTTTTCTGCTCCAATTTTTGCATGTAAAATTCAGGATTTTTAAGGCTAATATTGACATGATTTATCGGTTTCTGATTCTTTGAGCTTCTAAATTCCATTTTACTATTTTTCTTTTACAACCTTACCTAAGTTTTAGTCTGGTCTCCTTATATCCCTTACTAATATTGGCTCATACACTTCTATGTAGGATTCCTTCTTTCCTATACCTTATTACTTTCAGTTACCTTTTGTTCATCTTTGTTGAAATATTGCCTGATCCAGTTCCAAATACACTATTGCGTTTAGAGTCTTCTCTTGTATTTCGATAGATATGTTTCGATGATCTAAGGATAATCCCTGTAACGCTTACTTGTTCTTAGATAAACCAGATTTCACCTTCACTGTTTTAGGTACAAAGATCCTATCATTCCCTTTCGTAATTCTGTATTTCAGGGTTTCAGGTGATTCAGTCTAAAGTGAATGTCAACTTTATCAGGTAAATTAGCTGTTAATCTGTCTCAAATTAGGAAATAAAACATGCCTTGAGACCCTTATTAGATCGTGAAGTACCTTTCGAGTGACATTGAGTATACTTTTATAAGACTTTTGCGAACTAGCTTCCATTGTGTACCCTATAATTCATCATGAATCTCTAAAGCAAGGAGCATTTTTAAATGAGAAAGTATTAATCAAAAGAAGCTTTAGGTCTTTAAGAGATCTATGCTCTTACTGCTTGCTTTCTTCTTATTGCCATAATTAGTAACCGGTCTCTCTTTAGCCTCTAGGCTTATGTTTCAAAACCTGTGAGGATCCTTGTCAATCTTTCCTCCAAGAACCGTCTTGTTGCTTTCATTTTGGTCTGAAATAAGTATACACTTCTTAAGGTTGAACTTACTATGATTTTTCTGCTGGAACCTCAGATATTTGGACTTAGTTGACTATATTTTAGAAGACATGCTCGTACAACCTCGTCTGTAATTCTTTCGCATGAGAGACTAGCTTTTTCTTTAAGGAAAGTATTGTTAGCCAATCTTGACCTCTCATTGTTCACCACTAACGATTTCTTCTTATTTGCTAAATCTTGATATAAGAGATCTTCTATAATTTTTGGGGTTGAAATTTATTAAGAAAGGTCTATTACCGATGAGCATCTTTAATCATACTTGCAGCACTACAGAATTAGTCATATGTTACCTTAGCTCATACTTTTTCTGGTTTAACCCTGCTCGAGCTGGATAGTCATTAAAATTTCCAAAAATTGCAAATATTGATAGAAATGTAGAAGATACTTACTTCAGCCAAGTAATTTTCCAACGGTTTTAACATCTTTCTTGAGTCCTCCATATTTATGGAGGATTTCTTGAAGTACGTTTTTGATTTTGTATCTATTTTTAGACCCGTTTCTAAAATAAATGGGTTAAAATCTCTCTATTAACATCGCCCATGCATTCTAATAGTTTCCCCACATAAGATCTCTAAGCGTACCTATTCTCAGTCCCCACACTTGAGCCATGGTGTGGTCTGTAATTAGTAAGTCCTATGAGTGTCCTTATTAAATATACCTGTAGAGTGATTGTATTTCTGAGACATTAATTTAAATTTATAATTTCTCAAGTTCTTCACAAAGCTTAGGGGTTTTGGGGTTTTGGGGTTTTGGGG